GGTTCGGGTTCTACATGACTAAAAGGGTGAAATGACCTTATCAGGGCGTTTACATACTTCCCAAAAAAAGTTTGGAGAGTTTACATGGAAAGCTGGGAAAGCGCGAAAATTTGCAGCCTGTGATTTTTGCATGCACAGTGCTCCCGCGTAAACAGCCTTGGAATTGGTGCTCACAACCCCAGTCTGCGCGCGCTTGGACGGATTCTTACGAGTACGCGCAAATTGGGGTTGTGAGCGCCGATCAGGGCAGCTTGTCGGTGCAGAGGTGAAATCATGCACCGGGTAGGGCTCGAATGTTAGTGAGGTGACCAGAAAGCCCACCACACCTATATCCTCCCTGACTCGAATCTCCCGCGAAACGCCTTTAAGCAATTAAAGATCATCTCTTTGCCATATGAAGACTGTGCACGATATCTGGCCTTTTGTACTGCCTAGTTTAAAATATCGGTACTAGCGCAAACCATCAGCCGAAAAGGACTTGCCGAAGAAATAACTCTACCGAGCTGTTGAAGAAAATTGTCGAAACGAGAATTTATTTCCGATGAAAGTTAAATTATGTATGGATTACGCATCAACTGAATAGGTAAGTATGTGGAGACCTGAGAAAGGAGTCTATGAGTGGACGCAGCTCTGATTGGGCACATTCTCAAAGAGTTTATTTCCAGAACGGAAATAGAAAATTGAAAAGTGGTTCAAAAAATGAGAATAAACTTTTCTGCGTTGTCGTTCCGTCTGTGTAACACTTTTTAAAGCATTCTAAAAGAGCTGGTATCAATTCTTCAACCATTTCTTCGTCTTTGCTGGAAATGGTTTGATTATGTTCCTCCATGCATGATTCGAAGCACTGTAAAACGAATTTAGGAGCAATGATATCATAAAAAGATGCGTCTAACCTGCTCTTCAGAAACTGTTGCATTATTTCTCACAGTAGCCTGGGCTGCAGTCCCATTAGAGCTCACATCGTGCACAGACAACAGTGGTATAAGTGACAACAGCTGGTGGAAAAGCATGTCCTTAGGTAAATCTGCAAAACTCTTTCATCAAATTAAGTAGCTTCAAAAAATAGGTAGGAGAACTGAAGCAGTTGTTTAAACAGTAATACTTTACATGCTTTGTTTAGGAGTACCGCAGCACTATCGGATTGGGCTGTACTTGTTGCTCATTAGTTGTCACAAGGCATTCACTATCTGGCAGCTTATTCAACATAAATGGCATGTGTAGAAAAGTACGTTTCGGAATTATAAAGCAAAAATAATTATAAAATTACAGAAACAAAAGTAACCATATATTATAATAAGTTCCGATTTCGAATCCGTTTTCTAGGCTGAGACGCAATCATATATGTTGGCTGAATTCAGAAGCAAAATCGAAAATTTGATGTAGTTACACCCATGTCCTTCGCTTGTTCGAATATGAATACCAAGTAGCACTGACATTAGAAAATATACAGGGTTCCCAAAAGTATGTATACACTGTTTGATTGTTGACATCTCTTTTCCCAAGAAGTCTTTTGCTTACCTCTAAGCACCATTTTGTAGAGCTGGCTGCAAGTTAGATTTACAGTATGGAGCGAGTTACGGATCGTTCTTCACTACTGTAAGATTACGGTAAGAACTACCAGCTCAAAGCTTGTAGATTTACCGTTTTCAAAAAAAAATTCCAAAAAATGTGGAAAGTAGTATACTAGGGTTTTAAAGCTCGCTGATTTTACTATTAAACTTTTTACGAGTTTGCAAGGCTTTTAAGATGCTGTAATCACGGTTTTATGGGTCTTGTAAAAACAGCAATTGCGGTCTACCTGGCGTAACTTATGAAGGAAGCATTGCGGTAAAGTGCAAACATCATATTTGGTTTTAGCGGCTTCAGTTGACCTAGCATGAAAGTTTCTTGGTTGTTCGGCTTGCTTGAGGCGAAATAGGGCCCGCGATGTCCCACAACCCTTCTAGAATTTTCTACCGTAGTCCTACAGTAACAAAGAGCAACTAGTGATTCGCTCCATACTGTAAATCTGAGTTGAAGCCAGCTCTACAAAACGGTGATTAAAGGTAAGCGAAAGACTTTTTGGGAAAAGAGACATCAACGATCAAACAGCGTATACATACTTTTGGGACACCCTGTATATGGGCATGTTTCGAGACGAGGTTTACTTTTGCATTTCTGCTGTACAACTTGTGTTTGGAAGGGCGAATCTTTCAGGCTCATGGTGACATGCATTCAGCCAGAATATTTTGAATCATACGTTGTTTTTTGTGAGGGTTTAGTGCACCTGTTATCTTTCTCACTGCATCAGTAAAGCAAATTTTATGAGATTGCATAGACAGTCATAAGTTAAATTAAGTTGGGCTTACTTCTTTCCGCGACTTCCTCATTGAAATGAATTATGTAGAATGAAATGCCATCTTCTACTTATACTCTATTTTTCTTTAACTTTTTATTTTCTGTCTTCTATTCTTCGAGACCATAATGTGCGCAAATCGTACCATCGTTTTCTTTACTAGAATGGTAAGTTCAGAAGATAAAGGATTTCTAGTTAGTAATTACTGATAGAGAGCCGCCCCTGAAATCTACTGGTCTTCGTGCAATTGCATATCGTGTTTGGACCAAGGGTCCGCGGATGCTACCCCCAATAGCAGTTTTCTTTTTTCCGCCTTCTAGAGGTAGTCCGATTGGGGCGCGCGGTTGAGGTACCTATGAAGCGTTACCGAGAAACAATACAGCAGCCAGCAATAATTTGTAATTATTTTGGCAATTAGGTTATAACCTAAGCAGCTTTTCAAGCTGTTTCCGTTGAGACTTTTGCAACATACCCTCGCTGAAGATGTAAAAAATAAAACAGTATGCTCCTATAGGAATTTTTCTTCACCATTTTCATATTCTCGTGCTTCGATATTCTCATGCTTAGAAAACGCTGCTTCTACAGAAAGGTTTTGACAGCTACAAAAATGATCTGCAAGCAGTGCTTCAGCTCATGCCTGTTCTTTCACACAATCAATCTACAAGCGAAACGAACATCGGGGGCAGTATGTATTATGGACGATTTTACTATGGTGAATGAGCACCTAAGCGGGAAGAGGCGCCCGAACGTGATGTACAGAAGAGTTTTGATAAATTCTAATGGAACTCGAGGCGCCCAACCCGTTCGGACGCCTCCCTTGCCAGCAAACGTGCCCCATTCTTCTTTCGCAATAACCTTTATAGAGGCAACTTGTAGATTTATTATGGTCGCTGTTGTGCGGATAACAACTTGAGTAGCTTTGCTGTAGCTGCTTTTGTCAACTGTGTTAGAGCACCTTACAACATTTTGATCACCATAATGCTACACTGTGCTATGCGCATGTCCCATGCTATGCGCATCAGGTAAGAGCGGAGACGTGGCAGAGTGTACTCGTGGCATTTGCATAGCGAGCAAAATATCGCAGATTGTGATGCAGCTGAGCAAGATAATGCATGAGAGTTGCATACGATGACCCCTCAATACCAGCTGAAACGTTCACGAATCGCAATGCTTGCTAAATAAAAAAGCTAGTTACGGAATGCCAAGGAATGAACCCACGATGCCAGATGCGACATTCCCTTCGACAAAAAAACCTCGGTCTACAGATAAAAACGATTGCAGCTGCAGAAGGAACGATGGGGCCAGCAAGCGAACGTCTATATATACTTAGTCATTATTACTGCATTTTCCATCACTTACACTCGTTACTTGTGTTGCCTCACTATCCGCTCATTCCTTGTACGTAAGATAGCACATTTAACACTCCTATCGTATGTCTTCTATCTCCTCTTGTACATTTCTCAATGTAGTCCAAATTCAAGGGATATCCAAGATATTATTTGTTTGACTTATCGTCATCATAATTCCAACTGATTGTTAGCGATTTCGTCACGTTTTCATGTTGATGCTTCGTTGTTTATGTATGTGTATATTTCAAGCAGAATGAGGGTTTAATTGCCCAAGTTTGAGGTAATCGACAATAAACTGTGTCGTTCGTGTGGTGGTGGTTGGTGTGGTTCAATTGGCAAGGTTGTGGCAAACTTTTTACAAAGCACACACCAACAAGGAGTTTTAACAAATCTTACAATATCATCAATGTGTTGTAGGTTAAAATGCAAACCTCATCGTTGGTCATTCTCAGCAGCAACATTGCTGTTCAATCTTTTTCCCTCCGTCAGAGGGCAAGATCATTATATTGAACTCTGATAACCTGTCATCAATCTAATATGTGATTACTTTTAGTTGATTAATAATTTTGTTGAATCTTTTAGACTTACGTCGATGGAGTGCAATACAAAAAGAAACGTACGCGTTTTGAGCTCTACGCGATAGGCAAGCCTAAATCGAGCCATTTTCAGTATGCGTCAGCAGGAGTACTTGATACGTGTACTCAGCATACTGACGTACCCAACACCGCTTCACCGGGCTTTTGCCCCACGGGGAAAGATACGTCCCCATGGTAATATGGGTAATGACGTGCATGCGAGTTTTTACTCGGACAAAAGTTCGCTACACACTCCCCAAAATGATGAACTCTGAATTGATTTTGAGGTTAAAGCATCTAGGCATCCACCTTACACCCGATTTCAAGTGCAAAAATTCTCTGTTGTTGCAATGGGAGGTTACAATTGCAAATGATGTGCTTGTAACAAATAAATATTTATTAATGACATAATCATTACAAAGTTTAGACTCAATCAAAACATGTATCACACATCTATGTTGCAATGAGTTTCGCTATTCACTTGGAGGAAGCATGAAAGTATGCCTACAAGGGGGGGGGGATTTGGTGAGCGCGGAAAGAGGCAGTTACATTATGTGCATGTAAGAAGGAATGGCAAGACTGGGACATGAAAAAAGGGATAAAATAATCAAAAATTTGGCGAACACTAACTACATTGACGAGATCATCGGAAAATTCACAACATATTGGAGAACAACAACAGCTGCGCCTTGTACAGCAAAAGTGAGAGTTGCCAGCTTACATTACGTTAGCTCTTCAAGGTCAACGACGTCTTTCCATATACTTGCACGTCGCGCAACACTTCTGACGAACTTCGTTAGAATCGCATCTGAAATCTCGGTTTGTAAGGCTTGTGAACTGAAAGGAGGGTAGTTTATGGTATGGGTGAGTTAGTGCACGCAGAGAGTGACGCCACTGCGTTCGGCTAAATACAAGGTGTCCCAAAAGAATGTGCCTGATGTTTGATTGTTAGCAACTCTCTTGTCATTAACTCTCTGGAGAAGCTTTGGGTGCCATTTTGTAGAGCTGGCTTCAGCTTAGATTTACATTATACAGCAAATCACCAATCGCTCTTCGTTATTGTAGAACTACGGGAACCCTGACGAGGGTTTTGAGGCATGGAAGACCATGTGCCTCAGAAAAGGAACAAAGTTACGTGGAAAATCTCACACTAGGCTTATAAGAATTGCTGATACTAAATTGAATCCTTGTCTCATCATAACGGTTCTCTAGAAAGTTATGCCAGGTACCATGAAGGTCGTAACAGCCCTTAATTCGACGTTCTTAAAAATATGGTTAGACCGTTTATAAGCGAACGTTTATAAATGAAGGCTGTCTATAGACAGCCTTCACAATCTTGTACAAAATATAAATAGTTGAGTATCGCACTCAGGAAAACCCTATCACACAAGTTTTTGGTTTCTTCTTTTTTCAAATCGACGTCATAAGCCGAATGTTCCTAACGTAATCTACAGTAATAAAGAGCGACGGTTTCCATGCTGCAAAGCTAAGTTGAAGCCAGCAGGAGACGTAACTCCACCTATTTTGGCGGCAAACTGTATCGCGATGGCTGCCTAGGCTGATTAGCCAATTGCCGTCAAAATAGATGGAGTTACAGCCTCCAGCAGTCAATTGCTCCTTTTGGGGAAATCCCTCGCCCCACCCCTCCAGCAATCTCCAAGGCCCGGAAACGCCAAAGCACTTTTTTGACCTTTCAAGGGCAGTACCGGACTCAGCTGGTCCAGAAGGCCATGTATCGAGAAAAGCCCACAGTCGCAAGTTTTCCGAGCCACTGCCTTTAACAATCAAACAGTAGGCACCTTTTTGGGACACCCTAGCCCGAGTTCGAAAGAGACAGCACAGTAGGAAAGACGAAGGAGCATTTGTTGAAGAAGATGCAGAGAGCATCCGCAGTGACGTCCCGTACCTGCATGCGATGACTCGCCTGTAAGTGCAAGTGCAAGCTCACTGGCTTTTAGCAAGCAAACGTAAAGTTAAAAATAGAAAAAACCTAGCAAAAAGGGTGACGTGCTGGAAAATCATATGAAAAAAATAAGGAGAAAACCTACGAGTGGAATACTTTGATTATATCACAGTATCGCGAGTTGTCCTCGCAAGATTCATCTAAATGGGATGGTTGCATTACAAAGTGACTCAGAACATGCAAGAGCAAGCTCATTCAAGCAGAGTCACCTTGTAGCAGTGGAAGGGCAGTGGGACGACAAGGTGGAAGCGAATCGGCATTTGGGCAAGGGCGAGCTGCCGGAGGGCGACGACCCTCGCAGTTGCGTCCTGCTGCCGCGCCGCTATTCGCCCATACGCAGGAAAGAAGGCGAAGCTAAAAATATAGGTTCATAGCAAGAGTCAACCCTTTTCTATCGGTAAGTATTCTAAAAAATTTCAGGGACCATTATCTCTAAAATTACAGACCTGAACAGCTTTTGAGAAGTTTGAAGTATTTATTTTCACTTTGGAAGGCTCTCGGATCCTTCGGCCCCTTCGATGCGTCCACGGCAGCCCATGTGCCAGAGCAGTTTTAACGCCATGCCGGAACCATCATTCATCGATTGGCGTTCTGGCACGGCGCTAGCACGGCGCTGGCACGGACAACTCCGTACACAGTCCCTGTCCTGTTTCTCTCTCATTTCCCTTCTCTTCCCTCATTTCTTCTACCTTCTATACTCTGTAGCCTAGTTTGAATCAGACCCTACCTGCACACCACCCGTTCCGCAATTCGACGAACATGATCCCCAATCAGAAGTATGCCATTCGGCCTTACAGTCTTCTGGAAACATTCAAACTGTATACTGTTCACTTAGTCCTTGAAACTTACGATTTTCGCATTCCTTCCTCGACTTTGGCCTTTGAGTCTTATCGCAACGTTCCTCGTCTACAGCTTCACCATTCTGCATTAGGCATCTTACATCTCGCCGTTGTTTGGCAGTTCCTTCTCTCACACATGGCGCGGATTTGCACTACAAAGTTGAAGAAGTTAGGTTTGGGTCCATCCATCTGGACTCAGCTATCATACTATCGGCGCTAGAATGTAAGCAAGCAATTAGGATTCCGAAGAATCAGAATAGTTGGTGAAAAAGGTTGCTGAGGATTTGTGACATGACTCAAATTATTTCTATTTCTTCTTCCAAAAGACTTCAACCTTTAATTATTTCTTCAACTTTCTTCCTGCTTGATAATTATCAACTTGATTCGCTATAGGTGGAAGACAAACAAATCTTTGATGAGTTGATGGTTGATGTGTTCACCATTGTGAATGTTGATCTTTTATCCGATATGCTTCAAAATAAATTCTTCATAGTCAAACATTAATCAAGATCACGTATTATCCAAGCCTGCCAGGAATGTAAAGTAAATTACATTAGGTAAACTGTAGGCAAATAATTAGTTCCCTGCTTTTTATAATTATGCATAACGTTGCTATTGCGGGCGGAGCTTTCTAATGTACATAACTATTCAGGCAATATAATGGTTATTTTTCGATCTACCGTAAGACTACAGTAAGTGTGATATCACATCAAATGCATGAATTCAGTCATAATCTTCAAGTGAAGAGCACATTATGCACTTTTCCTACAAGCCGAACTTCAGCATCTCTCTCTCCCTACAGTAATCCCTACCATCACATTTTCGAAATTTTCCAATCATCACACCTATTCCCTAAGGCTTAGTTTGGATTGCACTTTTTGGAATTCCGCAAGAATATGCACGAGGGACTGTCTTGAAATGTTTCGAGAAGATCCAAAAGGGGCATATAAAATTGAAGATTCGACGAAAACCATCCATCCCCATAGGGTAGGAATGAAAGCGCACATCGTCTTTTGAAAAAACCCAGCTTTTTCTGAGAAATAGGGATATTAAGTAGAAGCTTAAAAAGCAAGAACAAAGATATGAAGACAAGGCAATTGTTTCGTTTCTCATGTCGCTGAAATTTTTCCAAAGAAAACCCCGTTTTCTTCTTTGGGCTGAAAATTTACTTGCCACAGTTGTTTTAATTCATGAAGCGTTACCCAATTTTGAATGGTAAATGACTTGTGATTTCGCAAAGAAGCAAAATTTGAAAACCTGTAACTCTCCCATTTCAGTCGAGCTTACTAAATTTTTTAGAAAAAAAAAAAAGAAGTTACCGCAGTCCATTCGCTAGCATCCCATTTCGGGCACTCTTCTCTATGGCATGGCCGTGTCTCTGGAGGACGAACAGAGGCCAACGCAGTGCAAAGACGTTCATCACCAGTCTTTCTTGCTCCGTCTACCATAACGCTACATGTCACTTCACGAGCCTGTATGGAAGAATTACAGAGCTACTGTAACCTCGAAGAAGGAAGGACACACCTGATAACCCGCAACTCCACAGGTGCTCTGCTTACAGTCAGTCCAGTGGCCGATTTCCCAACGAGCTCGGATGATGTCGCGATGTTTCTGCAGCTCACGAGCGACCTCGGCGTAGCTACCAGCAGAGAGAATTGCCTGAAGATGAAACGTGCAAATGCAAATTCTTCAACATAATCTGCTTGAGGTTTCGCGTCCGGGCCGGGTAGAGTAAGAAAAATTAAAGGGCCACAACAAACCTCGAAAAGTGATGCGTTGTGATTCTTGCCATGTCCTTTCAAGCTCTTGGTCAAATCCGATAAACGCGGGCGATGGGGCTATAATATAATTATCAATCGGATGTCTATCGCTTCAAAATATTTCGATTCAAAAATAATCCTGCTGAAGCTAGGCATCCGGGTACTTATATTTTACGTGGATAGTGATTGTTGTGACTAAGCGGAAGCTATAACTAAGTAGTTGCGGAGATATTCAAGTTCTCGCTCTAAAAGCTGGTCAATTGTTTCGTTATACGGTACTAGGCGAGAATTCGATGTTTACAGTGTATTGGTGGAATCTGGCCAAAATTGTGGGATTCGCGAGATTTGCGGGATTTTGTTATAATTTCTTTCAAAACAACTTTATTTGGAATCTGCAAGAAGATTTGGCTTCAGCTTGATGAGATGAATCTTTTAGTACAAATTATGCCCGTTTTCCATGGTGCATTATATTGTATAGGCGTGTGTTATGAGATTATCATCATGTATTATTGCTCATATGAACAAATTTTGAAAATAGCAAAGTAGTATCATATGTCTACCGTATTACCATGGACTATGGACATAATGTATACTAAAAGATTCGTCTCATAGCTGAAGCCAAATCTCCTTGCAGATTCCAAATAAAGTTTGTTTTGAAAGAAGTTAATGACTAAATTCCGCAATCACGCGAATCCCGCAATTTTGGCCGGATTCCACCGATACAAATGTAGTTACCTAAGTCCAAAAATAGTCAAGTCGTATCAAATTTTGTAGGAGCCAGAGTACTCAAATTTGTCTGGGCATTTAGGAAAACTTCGTTCCGAATTTCTTGCCCTTACCTTGTCATCATCCCGATACTTGAACCTCAATGTGACATTTCCTTGAAGTGAATCTGTGTAGCACTCATACAATCCAGCATCTTCCATTCGAGCGTGGAACAAGCGAAGATTTCCATTTGCCGACACTTTGATGTGTGCTAAGCGAAGAAATCAAAATAAGATAGCCAGAAGAAAACCCCAAAACTACCAGATGAGTGATGGTAGTAAAGCAGGAATAATTTTTGAGGAAAAAGGAAATGATTTCGCATATGATTTGCCGCATAGCAGAAAATTATACAGATTTTTGGCTAATTTAGACGAGTTCTTGCAAATGCTAACGTAACATGCCGAACTCTGAAATTCTCATCTTTTGTTGAACATGCGTTTTCTACTACCTATATCATTCTAGATTTGAGAAAATGACCATGAGGAACAGATTTTTCTGTTTTTGTGAAAAGAGTGCTCCCAAGGACATCGTCATTTAGACTTTTGTTTCAAATCTTGTGCCTATGTCTAAAGCAAACCTAGATGTCCAAGGATTTCAGAAAAGTGTAGACCTAATCTTTTTTTGCAGATATTATGGCCACACCTTTCCCCACAAACTAAAGGAAGATGCTATCTTCTTCAATCGTCCTTTTATGTGCCCAAGATAACGGGCTTCTACGAAAATTATCCCTACTTTATCACCCTGATGGTCTTGACAAGTGCTGTGAAACCTACCATCATTCCTTATCCTCTTCCCATTCTTTGTCCAATAGATCTTCTTTTTGTCAAAGTTCTTGCGTGGACATTTGATCTTAATGCTTGTTCCTGCAAACAGAATTTTATCTTCAAAAAATCATAAGATGAATGAAAATAATGGCACTTTACCTTGGTATAAGGTTGCTACACCACCAATTCCAAGTGTGAGCTTCTTTTCAGACGCATTTTGCTCGAAAACTCGATTTGAAAGCAGCTGAGGTTTTCCGCAAGAGCCTAAAATGCACAATGTGCGAAAATTTTGGAATAAAATGGTCCCAAAATTACCTAAGCTACACATCTGTACGGATGGGGGTTTATCAGCAGGGCATTCGTTCTCAGCTCGTCGTTCCCTTCGTCCTCTAGCATCTCTCCCTTCACACATAACAGCTCTTCTTTGTTCCCCGGATCCACATGAGGCGGAGCACTCGGACCATTCACCGATCTGGAAGGTTACGGTAAAATTGCACAAATGTAACATAACCGAAAAATTCTTACGATCCAGCTGGCAGGACAGGCTACGACACTACAAGCTTCGGTATCAAGAGGTTTGGGTAAGTTACATTCAATGTCTCGAAGGACAATGTGGGCGTCTGCTCCTGCAAGAAATCATCAAAAATCAAATTGAACTTTTTCAAAAAGAATAGAATCTAACCTCCACTACGGCTCACGGGTCTAACACAACTAACAGAACGGGTAGCGGTACCACCTCCGCAGCTAACCGAGCATGGTCCAAACGGCCCGACCTGGTATTTATACGGTAAGGTAGACCTGATTACAGTAACCTCAGGCGAAAGGATTACCTGCCAGACAGGTGGGCAAGCGTGTTGATTACATTGACGGACGAGTTGTGGTGGACGAGTTCTAGCGTCACATTGTGACCATGGCACAGTTCTTCCTGTGGCGACTTCTCGACAAAGCAAGGCTGCTTTTTGCTTTCCTAGAATCTCCTGATTTATCCCCAAGCTTAATATTTAGTTCTTGTGGGACTAACCTCCTAAACAACTGGCCGAGCATGGTCCCCAATCCCCATTCTCCCAGCGAAATGGTGTTTCGTCATGATTTGTCTTTGGGTCTTCCTGTAGCGGACAAGGACGAGCTTCGCACGGTTCGAACAGTGATGGTTGTTGTTGAGCTGAAAATAGTAAGATATTTTGGTCAACGGGGAAGTTTGGTGCTCACATTGGCATTCAGAATAGGGCAAACGGATCATGCCGGCCATCGGATGAGCAGCCATACATTCGGCTGTTCTAGTCTGGACCCCTGGTCCACATGTAGTCGAGCACTCACTCCATGAACTAAGTATTAGCCTGAAAGTTAGAAAGAAGTAATTCTTTCCAGGTACGCAGAATCTTCTCAAGTCTTTCTTTCATTTTTTGATTCTCTGCTTTTTCCCAAAAGAAGAACGACCGACTCGATATGCTTTTGTGAGATGCTTATAAGAACTCATTGTCAGAACCAACCTGGGCGAGTGACCATTGGTCTCCGATGGATTGCTGTAGGACGACTCATCCAAAAACTTCCTATCGTTCCAGTCGATACTGAAAAACGCAGATTTTAACTATTGAACGATTTGTTAGAAGTATCTTGCTGCTTTAAATCTCATAGAAATTGGTGGAAAATGCTATGAGCCTTCATAAATGCGAATTTAGCTGTTTCAAATGTAGTTTGGCATGTTATTGAGTGCAATAACCATAAGGAAAGAATGAAATTACCATATAGAGGGTGTCCGTAAAGCATGTATGCACTGTTTGATCGTTAATATCTCCGTTCCCAGGGGGTCTTTTGCCGAGCTTTAAGCACCATACTGTAGAGCTGGCTTCAACTTAGATTTACAGTATAGAGCGAATCAGCATTACTCACTGTTACTGTAGGATTACGGTAGAAACTTGAAACATATGGTATCAATGTGGAAAAAGCTGTCGTTTCAAAATTTTTTAAAAAAATGTGAAAACTTGTGTAATAGGGTTTTTATGGACGCTGAGTTCAATACTCAACTATTCACAAAATTGCGAAGCTTTCTAAACGGTGTAAACGCACTTTTTAGGAACATTGAAAAAATGGCCGCTACCTCTTACCTGGCATAACTCTTCAATGAAGCATCATAATAAGTTGGGAACTTCACAATTAGAATCAGCAACTCTAATTAGCCTAGTGTAAAAGTTTTCAGGCTGTTTTGTTTCCTTTCTGAGGCAAAATATGGCCTTTCATGGCTCAAAACCCTCTTTGAAGTTCCTACCGTAATTCTACAGTAACGAGAGGAGATCGGCGATTCGCTCCATACTGTATATCTAAGTTGAAGCCAGCTCTACAGCATGGTGCTTAAAGCTCGGCAAAAGACTCCCTGGGAACGGAGATATTAACGATCAAACAGTGCATACATACTTTACGGACACCCTGTATGTCATATAAATAAGCGTTTTGAACCGCTACTTTTTGATTGTATGCCACCTGTTTGTCCAAATTGGACCTTCAATACTCATGACTTCTTCTGGATATTCGTTGAGCAGATAAGGAAGGTCAACATGAAATCGGTTTATCAAGGCGCATCCTAATGGTTTAGCGCGATTTGGGATGCTTCATTCGTTAGAATTAACTTCCAAGCATTTCTGCCTACTGGTCTTTCGGGCCATCGATCGTTATTCATGCCACAACTGGATCATTCGTATAACAAACTTTGCCAGCTTTATACAACATCAAACGTAACGTATATGATTAGAAAAAAACCCTTGGTCGGTGCTCCTCCTTTTCCGAGTAATCACACACAACTTGTGAATATGTATTAACGCATTTTTGAAATTTTACGATTTCACGCAAACCTTATAGAAGTAGTTTATTCGCATAAAAAGTCGGAGGGACTCTTCTTGATTTTCAGCCTCTAGGATTTTGTATGGTTCTATAAAATCGCCTACCAGATTCAAAATTATCCAAGGTTGAGCTAACAAGATGCATTGTGAAAAGAGTATAAAACATACAGCTGTTCCTATTGTCTATACAAATAAGCACAACGATGTCAACAACTGTCGGTCGTTTGCTCTGTTTCTGCCATGAATTCAATAATGGCTTAGAAATTTCTATGTGATCTTCTACAGAGAAAGCTGGGTCACAGATATGAAAGCATCAACTGAAATACTTTTTTCCAGAATTATTTTGGAATCTTCTTTCCGCACCAATTTTTTTCTTACGCAAAAATTGGTAAAAAATATTGCGCGATTCAATTATTCCATACTAACGAAACGTCAGTACTAGTCCATACTAGTGTTGTCGTCTGTCATGTAATTTCAAGTCTCTTTTAGTCCTCAAAAAAGTAAAAAACTATCGACGCATGCAGGTACCTACATTGCTTATGACAAAGGAAGATCAGGCTAAATTAATTAAACTATATAAACTAAACTATTCAAAATTTTTGGGGCTAATAATAAGATGATCAAAGTAAACAAGGAAACTCCTCAGATTCTTCATGAAAAATGCTAATTTATTACATTGATATGTTACATTATATTATTTTATTATGACAGCTGCCGTAATATTTTGTACACTAATAAGGTCCTGAAAGGAACTACTACAACACACCTTACTACTATTTAGCGCTTTAGTGTCGTTGTCGCATCATGTTAGCCTAGTCAGTTGAGCTATCGTATATCGTACCAATAAGATCGCGTAATGGTTATGATTTTGACACAATGAGATCGCGTAATGGTTATGATTTTGACACAATGAGTTACGATGTCGGGCGATCTCCTCATCGCTCATTGTGCTGTCAAAACACATCAGAGCTCATAAAGTACTACTACGACTTGTAGTAAGTTTTTTTTTCTTTGCGTGCGTAATTTTCGTACATTCCGTGTTGCATAATGGCTTTTTATTCGGGAAAAAATCCCATTTCCTGAGGGGCAAACGTGTTTGATTCAAGTACCTCTGCTCGTTCTTCCGTGCAAATAAGCAGAGTTCGACTGAGGACGACGACAGATACGGCGAAATTGTAAAGTCATTCGTAGGAATTTGCATACGAGAAGAGCGCTTGCAAACATTACATTTTCATCGTCGCTTCTGCCCTCGATTTCATTTCATTGTACGAAAAGTATTAGCAAATTTTTTACTTCAGTGATGGCAAGCTGAGATAGAAATCTAGGCGAATTGTTGCGATTTCTGTTTTTTCTCTCTTGCAATATCTCAAAAGGGCAAACAACGACTTTTATGATCACTTTGAAAATTATAGAAAAGAAACCTTTCCTCTCAACACTGCTCTTCTTGAAAAAATGTATTTGACATATTTACCGAGCACATTTCTATTATTCAATTAAACCGTCAATTCTGAATTGCCGCTCACTCTTGCCAATCAAAATCCAAAGCTATAAAAATCAACAAGAAGAGGGAAATGAATGATAACGGAAATACTCAATCGAATAGCAGATGCTCGGGTTTGGTTCGAGCAGCTGAGAGCAGCAGCCAGCTCTTTTGCTGGCTCTTTTTGGTCACAGCTTATTTATTTGCGCCCCAAAATAGCAAACAATAAAAAACCGAGTAAAAACGGGACCAACAAAATGGATATGGAGCAAGGGTTCTGTCAATACCCGATTCTTAACTTTACAACCCCCTGAGGGGTAAAAAGACCATTAAATTGTGAAACCAGTATGAAGTGGGCTGAGATTTTTTGCAGCTCTAACTCTATACTATAAGATTTTCAGCTTAACGGCATCAGTCTTACTTTGTTATTTATCAACAAATTGATTATGAGTAAAATTGTTGTTTTTATCTTATTTTGTTACCGTCCTTAAAATTTTATAAGTTTTTGTAACAATCCTCTCCTACAATGCTCTCCTATAGAACTCTGAAAACGTTTATGTCTGCCTGGCCTTGAAACATGAATCAAGGTCTAAGGATTGCTGAGATATTATTTTCAATCTCAGTTTTTGATAAATGATTAGCCTAAACGGTATTTTCGGAGCTGCATATACCAAAAAGATAAGAAAATCTGGAAGATTCATGCAGAAGCTGAGATATCCTTTATGTCACAGCTGGCGGGCTTTTACCCTATCAAGGCAAAAAGTTCTGTCCTTCTCCCTCCTATACGTAAGATCCACGCTACCGATACCTCTAATCTCCATTTTTGTTTACATAACAGTGGTAATCCACCTAGTAAATAAATCAACACCCGATCATAATTGCGTCACTACCCAGGTTGATCAGATTAGCTCCCTAATGGTCCCACACCTGCCCGAGAAGAGAGCCCATCTTCCTTCAACTCGATTCCACTCTTGGTGCTGGAGTGAATGTCGGAAGTGACAAGCGAGTGCGAAGGTCTTTGAGGGGCATAACAAATGTTTTGCGCGATTTTCGAGTTGATCCCCGGGGAGCGGAGGGCCCGGCTGCAGCGGCTAATTTCAATGTCTTTGCATCTGAGCGCTTATTCATACATCAAAATGCTCAAACACCCTCTTCTCCACCCGCGGACATTTTGGGGAGAAAAAGATTCAGCTGCCCTAAGAATGAGAACGAATGTGAGAAAGCTTGCTGGCATTTATCGTCTCTTTAATTACCCACACACTTGCACTGACCCCCAGATAAGGATTAAAGGGAACCGCTCGGTTACGAAGTCGTAAATTAGTGCGCCACGGCTACTTCTCAGCAAACATTGTCCCATTTCAGAAAGCCAGTTTCTGGCGAATTTCCACTGGAAAAGTTGAGTTCCCCCAAGGCTATCGACTCCGGAATTTCGTATTTGTGGTACTCTGAAAGTATTTCAAGGGTTCTGAAGCGGAAAAATCAATTTCCAAGACACAAGGGGAAAAATGTTTCCACATTCGGTATGCTATGAGAAATTCAAAAAGCTACTGGCCGAAAGGAAAAGCCATATACAGTTGCAGAAGTGCTTGGTTATGCAAGTAGTAGCTAGTAAAAGAAGAAGGTTGTAGTCTGAAATGGTTCTTAGGATTTTTTTGAAAGGAAAAGGGGGGGGGGGGGAGAAGGAAGGGCAGGGGGAGGGGGGGGGGCATATGCAGGATACATCATATTTTACGTCAAGTAAACTTGCTGAATTTCTTCTCGAATTTCAGATTTTTTGTGAAAGGCGGTGCAGAAAGTTCCGCGAAACTTCTCCGAACATTCTTCCCGCAAAACTTCCGGAAAAGTTTATCTCGCAAAACTCCCACTTCTCAAAACTTTTTTCTTGCGTGAACGTGAGATACTTTATCCTACAAAACTCCCCGACTTCCGAGCATCCGTCCACGGAACTTCCGAAGAGTTTTGCTCCCAAACTTTTCCATAATTTGTCTTGCGAAATTTCCGAACAGGTTCTGTTGCTAATAAATTTTTTTAGCTGTGATTCTGCAATTGCAGAAGCATACCAAGATTGGACACGCAAAGTGCTTCGACCTCAAGTGGTGCCAGGCTGTGAATTTGAATGACAATACAATAATTATGATGTGTCAACATGAATTACTACTCGAATAATTCGTTTACCCGGTCCAAATGGTCAAGCTGGAGAGTGGGTAATTGGTCAAGGCGGGAACGATCGTCAGTTAGGAAAGAGGTGGATTACATGGATTATGCCTTAAGTATTTTCTAATTTTGGTAGGTTAAGAGGGAGGAGAGAAGGGGGGGGGGGGTAGAGGAGGAATTTTGAGGTTTCTAATAAATATTGGAAATTAGCATTTGGGAATCTTACATGCACACCAAATAAAATCGCGTCTTCATCAAACTGAGTGATTTTCCCCTAATCAGGAACCCTGACCGGAACGTTTTTGATACTACAAAAATATTTTTTACTCTAGCAGTGCCAGAATTTCCGCCCATATGGCCCGAACTGCTCAAGCACCAACTGCGCTTTTCGCGAACCTATTCAGACCGAGCACAGGCACTTGCATTAATGAGCTGCCAGGAATTTTGGGGTGAATCCACATCACGAAAAAGATCTTTCGCCGTTTGGCTCTAAGCCAAATGCCGCTTTATGTTGTTTTTCGATAGCGATTGAGATATGGAGACAGATTCAAAGGCAATGAAGGTGGACAAGGTTGTCCCGAGTGAAGCGGATAATTTTCCGGATAAAAGCAGGGAAAAATTGACCATTGAGGTAAGAGGGATCTTTTTCAGTCAAGTCAGTGGGGACTCACTTCTGGTGGTTAAACTATTATGTCTTCCTTAGTTAAAACCAAAGGGAATAAATTCTGGAATTTTCCGAATCCAAGCATTTTGAGGGCCAAAGCTTTATGTTCTTCTTTGGGTACAAAAAAAACTTCTATAAAATCCTTAGCAAAATGAGAAAGGTCACCAGTGTACATTCATAATACAAAGCTTGCTTTACCAAAAAAAATTGAAAATATTGCAAAAATTGTGGAGTCACACAGGGTCAAAAGAGATTTAAGCAATAGCGTTCAGTTTCAAAAGAGGCTCGTATTTCGAATTTCCAGGTATGAAAAAATAAAATTCATTTGTGAAGGTTTGAAAGTAATCTGTAACAATTTAGAAAACTCAGAAATGTTCGTTGGTTTTTAGGGTATTTCTTGCTTTTAATAGCACAAGTGTGTCAGCACTTTTCAATAAATAAATAAATAAATAATCTGCTAAAAAATTCAGAGGTTTATTGTTCGAGGTACTTCAGTGTAAGGCACAGTGAATGCATTTGGATTAAATCACAAAATACAAAACTTTTACATTCAAGTTAATATTTACACCACTGTCTGATTTTTTTGATTTTCACGAATTATAGTTACTACTTTTCATGAATTCGAAAATTTTCGCATAGCCTACCTAGAAACGCGCAGTTTGAAAACTTGGCTGTTTTTTAAGCAGTCTCAGGAGTCCAAGTATGAACAAACTACTTTTTCCTTATAGAGCCCTTGCCAAGCCAGCTGAGAGCGCTGTTTTCCCGAGTTGCCATATTCATCTAGAGCATTTACTTGGCAAAGACAATGGTCGAACGCGTGCAAATGCTGATAATGGCCTTGCTTTTGGAAATCCTCTGCAATATGCGGATAGAAGCACTCCTCGAAAGGCCAACCTAAGTTCAAATCTTAAGCCTGCAAGTTACGCAAGTGCAAGGGTGCGTACTCGAACTACGTACTTTTTCAAGTCCAAAAAAGTTATTAGCATGCAAAAAGGGCGAGAAATTCTTGCAATCTCAAACAAAAACGAAACTCACAAAGCTCGCGTCTTCACGACAATCACAGCTAAGCATAAGAATAGAAATAATGGAGGTTCCATCTTGAGACGGAGTGGTTCTGGACTCTCGAGCACGAGATGGGGCCAAGCGGAAGGCGTGGCCCGCGCGGCTGCCCCGACCAATCACCGCCGCCGCGGCAGAGGTAGCTTAGGCCGTGATGGATGTGCGGACTTCGAGGATTAGACGGGTACAGAAACACCCGCCAATGTTTCAGACTATACACTATTCACTTCGCATAAGCCCTGCGAGTAAGCGCCAATGGCGTCGGTGCGCTTTTTGTCAAGGCGGTTGAGCTGTGACGGCATTTTCGAGTTTGGGAATTTAGATCTCGCATTAGGAGTAGAAACAACTGCGAACTCTGGGACTCAGGAATAGGAAAAAGGGTTTCTGGCGAAAAGGCCTTCTTTCCGCCAGAAATCCTTAGAAAAGTTAGAAAAGTTGTTTTCCCGTGAATGTGGATCACATGTTACACAAATAATTTTTCATATAAGTCTAATATATCCTGCCACGGAGAAAACAGATACAGAAGCATCAGAATTGATAGATTCAAGAACAGTCAAACACTAACGCACAGATTTTTAGTTTGCTATATCCCAGGACTCAACTCACTTGAAAATCAATAGAATTCAATTGCTATAACAAATTATATGTACTTATTGCTAATGCGGATATTTCTCACACCTTTAGGACCAGTGAACTTAAATCGAGGATTTGGTTTCACTAAATAAACAGCAAGTTGCTATCTATTCTCAAAATTCCCTTAGCTTCAAATATTCAGAAATAAAGAGTAACTCACGAAGATTATTCAAACAAATTCATAGTGAAATCACTAAAGACGGACTAATATTAACGAATGCCTGTTTTTCTTGAGTATCAAGATTTGCTCGTACACGTTTTGATGTACTTATTCTACCAATAGTATTTGTGCAAATTTGTTTAGAACTCTGCAAAAGCAATAAGTTCAAATAGGATTATGGTAATACTTCTAACAATAAGTAAAAATAAAAGATCAAAAGGAGAACAACATCTGGGTAAAAAACCATTCTTTTCAAAAAAAAACTGACTGTCAACTTACTAACATACGTCAAATTTGGAAATGAGCCATTAGAAGGGACTCATAAGTCAAAACAGTCCGAATTCGCAATTTTATCTCTGCGGTTTTATATTGTGTAAAGGCACTAATTTGTTGAGTTGTTATCTAGCCACTCAATAATGGCAATACTATTCATGTATCCCATGCTTAGATCTGTGAAAGTTCAGATTCTCTTTCCTCACTCCTGCAAGTTTTTTTCCAACAATAGAATCCCCTCAATAAGTACATTTATAGGGTCTAGCAGCGACTCATCTCTTCTTCCAAAGCTGTCACAACAACTTCCTCACCGCCTTTTTTTGAGTCGGTTAAGTCTCAGTAGGCATGGCTATAAAGCAAAACAATTGCAATGACCTTTTTGTGCAAGCGGCAAAAACGTACTTTTCAACCTAAATCCAGCAAAAAACGACGTACTTTTTAACCCGCTCGAAGCAGAGGGCCTTAGAAACCATATTTTGCGGCACAAACCCATTTTCGCCATGAAACGATGCGGCACCGATGAACAATTCATCTTATCGCGCGAAATGCTCACTAGACTATGTGCGGATTTCCCCAGAGATTGAAAGTACAAACTGTTCTTTATAGAAATTTTGGAGGGCTGACCTATTGTCCAGCTGACCCCATGGTTGTGGGTTCTGCATTTGATCTGGGCACGGAATTCCAGAGTAGCAAGGAGCTTCAGTTATTGGTCTTGAGGTGAACGGGCAGTCCTTTCCGCCGATGCATTCCGCCTATAGAAAACAATACTCAGACAATATTACAAATGATTGGAACCAGTCAAATTACCGTTCGTCTTCGAATGCCTTGCCCACAAGATGCTGAACATTTCGTCCAACCTCCAGTTACCCAGTGGCCGCATGGTTCATTCAGACAAATGCCCTCAGTAATCTAAAGGCGGGGTTTCATCAAAAATATTCAAAGTAGAAAATGTGACAATTTTATCGGTGCAGGTGTTAATCAGTAACGTTCAAAAAGGTCTCTCAAAAATGTGTTAACTGTTTTTTATTGTAAAAGTAATGCCACTCTGCCTAGGTGTTCCCAGAAATTTATATTCCCCTTTCTTCGATATTTCTTTACATTAGTACTAAAGTAATAACTTCTCAATTTCTTAGCAATACAAAAACATGTGACTCAAGCTTAATAAGTCTTGTAATAAAGTACTATGGAATTTTTTTACCTTCACTTTACTTCAGAATTCGTGCCAAATGCCTCACGTGGACTGAGTCCCGTAAATTGCTATGTATTTGATGATTTATACTCTATGAAGACAGATGAGAATAAGATTAGAGAGCTATAGTTGTACTATACTAAGAGAAAATTTACTTGGTCTACGATGTTGCGACTTACAATTCGTACCAGAGCGCCTTTTCATTCGAATATTATGAGAAATGAATTTAATTACTCATCTAATTATTGCTGAAGATAAATGCGCTAGAAGAAAAAAAACATGAAGGATATCAGGAGAGAAACAAAGGGATTGAATGTGTAGAGAAAAATTCGTTTATCTTATGTTATGAAAAATGTCTTACTTTAATTTTTAAATGTCATGCGCAGCAAAAAAAAACTTTTTCTCGCAAATATCTAGTGCCTGCAAATTTTCTGGTTCAAATCTATTTATAGTGTGACTTGCAGCTCAATATATGGTGCCATTGCGGTGTTGACAGCATTTGCGCGTGAAAAATGCCAATACGGCGAAAAGAACGAGGCAGTAGTGCTCCATGCCATTTCAAGCGCAATTTTTTCAAAACCCTAAGATTTAGATTATGTATATACATAGAACATATAGACTCACCGGTTTTGTTTGATTTTCACAGTATTTCTCCGGCACATTTAGCGTCTGATTTACAGTATGATGGACACAGTAGACGCTTCTTGTCTTTCGTCCTTCACCACAAATTGGCACACACTCGGACCAATCGGACGCCAGCCAACCGGAATAAAAAACGATCGGACGAGTGATCAGCCAGTCAGAAACAAAACTTGGACGAGTGCCAATGCGTAGCGACATCATGCAATTTTTAGTAGCGCTATATAATCGAATAACCGAATTTTGCAGATACTGGGCAGAACTTAGATTCACGATGTTACCAACGAAACTTAGGCCGAAAAAACGTTAAAATTAGAAAGACCGCATCCCAATTGGGCACTCCATGCATGTTACCTTACCAAACAGAGGGAACAGCTCGTAAAACTTACCGACATCTGTAAAAAAAAGATTTTTTCAACTTTTTGGAGACTTTTTCGAAATGAATGTAAAGTACATCCATTTAGGGCCTGAGAAATTGATTTACGGCCATAACGATACGTCCTAACTCCTTCTCAGCAAACTGCAAATCCAGAATTTTTCAAATCATTCCCGTCCTGACAAATTTTTCTTTTTGGTTTGGGAAGGTAAAATTAAGTTAAAATCCATTTATCTCCAAGAGCATGGATATTATAGGATTTTATTAAAGTACCGTATTCCCCTGCAATTTCCATTTTTTAGAATCTGATTCCAAAATCATTTTATCTTTCAGCCCTCCGACGCAATCATAACGCCATCTTTGCCGGAATATACGAAAACGCATTCATCTTCGCTTTGTCTCCGAGGATTCGCAAGCTAATAAATTGCGTGACCAACGCTATATTCTTAGCCGTAGGTCGAAAGCGCGAAGATGATAGAGCTTTACAATATAGTGCCCTAGTAATATTTGAATGAGACGATAAAACCCATAGCTGGACAAAAATATGTTATGTAGTAAAGCATTTTACTGTTAGCGTGAAAAGAGTGCAATGTCAGAGTCTTTTATATATCATCGCATATCTAGTCATATACAAGAAAAGCAGTTTTAGCAGCGATTTTACAAAAAATAGCAATAATGAAGTTTTGGCTAAGTTTTCCTTACATATCTCTCAAACCTTTGACGACGATGTGGACTACCGGTGGCCCGCACCACTTGCAAAATCATATCCTTTGCAGGTCTAGTATTTCTCCCAAAGTTCAGTATTTTTTTCCAATTTTTTGCCCTTTTGGAACCTGCAGATTTCGTCGTCTATGTAGATGACTGTAGTTGTTGACAAAACATCTCTGAGTTCGTAAATGGTCACAAAGCTTATCCACTCCGAAAATGTTGTGCAGAATCGCGTCGTCCCACAGCACTGTCACGCAAAATTAGGCGTCGTCGTCAATGGGTTAATCACCACTATTCACGGTAGATGTTAACGTTCTGAACGACCTTAACGACCCTAACATCATGTTTCCGGCTAGTTTCGTCTTCCTTTTTTTCGATTTTTAGAGCCACGATTGTATAAAACCAATAAATGTAAAAATACAAAGAAATTTTCGAAATAAAAACCAAGCCAATAAGTGGAGTATTTGACGTGAGCGGTCCAGAAATAAAAACTATAACATATTCAAGTCTGTTTTTACGATGTTGAGATTTCACAGAGCCTATGTGATGAGGCAGCTGTAACTATAGCTAATTCAATTCACAGCCATGAAAAACTTTTTTAGTTTATTTCCCATGCTTCAATATGATACGATCAACCGAGAAAAGCAATTGAGTCGAGTAATTTCGTAGTATGGCTGAATGATATTAATTGCTGTTATTGTCGCGATCGGTCAGAAAATATGGAAAAGCGCGCTCTACAGCAATTTTTTGAATGAGCATGTTCGTGATACTAATTCCCCTCGATAGTTTCAAAATCCACAAAAATAACCTCGTCTACCCTGCATCTCTGAGTGCTGCCCCGTTTTTGAAAAATGCTCTCCATCATTTTTTAAGTCCCGAAAAAAGACAAGCACTCATTAATCGTTCATAGGTACTATATAACTGACTAATCTTAGTCAAATGGGTTCTTTCACCAAAGTGCAGAAACAACTACCTACATCTAAACATCCTGAGGCGATTTATCTGCGGCAAAGTTTATCGTCAGCTAAGGCAATTAGTTTGTAGGATTGGCATCCATTTCTCTTGCTCACTTTTTCACAAATTTCACCCATATCTTTACTGAATATCACGTAAGTGCATTGAAAGAACTAAGAATGATTTGGCTTTGGCAGCCATTCTATTTTCCGGTGGCATAAGGGGAACAGAAAGTGCATGTAAGTGGTAGAAATGGATAAGGGCTACCCATATTTGGATATGAGCCACGGTTTGAAATCTCTTCTTCCCCTCCAATCCCTCTCAAATGGGTTGCAAAATTTTAAAGGGGTCAAACTGAGTGGAAAAGCTGCGCAAGCTGAAATGTGCATTACGTGATAAGATTTATATGCAATTTGTAAAACCACAATTCCCCAGAAATACCCAAAAAACCAACTGAATTTGTAGAAAAAAGTTTTTCCGTTCTCACGACACGCCCCTCCGAAGAATAATTTAGTGCCAAGAAAGAATTCAAAGGATAAACCAGAAATTCTTTTCGACGGAAAGAATCTTAAGTGTAGCCCATTCTTTTTGAAACCAGTAGTACTTTCAAGGCTTTTCTATTACTGGCTGAAACATCTACGATGACCGTAAATATGTACAATTCTGTAACATCAGTTTCTTTTTTGTTTTTCTTTTTTTTTATTCCTGGCCTGCATATCCAAATAATTTAGATCTAAGTTTCACTCCTACGACCCCCTCGATTGACTAAACAGAATTCTAATTTTTGGTTGAACGAAAAATGTGAAACAATCTTGCTGAAAAACACAACAAGCCATAGCCCCCCCCCCCCCCATATCCCAACTGTTTACCATCGAGTATCGACATTACCAGCACTTATGTTCGCGTGCTTGTATGCCAGCTGTTTTACGAAATTCGGCAAACACTTCAACCTGCAAAAGGAGCAGCAAGGATGTGCTTCTCTGCTTCTCCACACTGTCATTCCCGAAAAAAAGCTATTCGATTGATAGCTAGGGATAAGAACTAGGACCCATGAGAACTACGCGGGGGAAGAACGCGCATGGTCTTCGGCCTTGCAGACCATTTAGAATAGACAAATGACCCTCGCGCTAAATCGACATAGCCTCTCAATCCATTCCCATTGAGAAGAAAAAGCGTAAAGCGAGCTTTTACCGTTGTGGGCGAATTTTGAGAAAGATGCTCGGGAATACCTGCTTGGGCAGACCAGTAGCGGGCATTTTCTCCTTCTTACAGGGGGCCGTTTACGATCGGCACAAAGTCGTTCCGGGACAACTCGTCCAGTGTTCGCGTTCACACACACGATGATAGCACGAGACTCATGTATTTCGTCCTCTTTGCCTTCGTGATAGTCTCGAGCAGCTTCGTCGCATGATTTTGGGCATTGGGTAAACTCTCCTGAAAACATGATTTTGGGCATTGGGTAAACTCTCCTGGAAATTTTTGCAGGTATTTTGGAATGTTAGCTAGTTTGGATTTTGTACATACCAGACTCTTTCCACACAAACTGAGCACTGTCACAGGTGTCGCCTCTTCCACCGCAAACGCCACAGACATCAAATCGCAGCGAAGAGCCGATCACATCGTCACATCCTACGATCTAAACACAATCAGTTAAAATTTTATTCTGGATTTGAATATCATTTTTTAGAACATCTTCCGTGAGTATTTTGTAATGTAGATATTCGCGATCTATCCGTAACATCATTATAGAACATCAACAGATGCGAAATTTAACGAAGTTGATGTACATAGTTTGATTCTCAATCACTCTGTCAGCCAAACTAGTACTATTTTGTGGTACACAAATGCTCGCAGAAAGTGCTTTTTTCAACTCAAATCTGCGATTTAGAACAAAATAGAATGTCTCGAAAAAGGTGGCGAGAAATTTGAATTCAGTTACTAGAGAAGTCAGAGCAGCTGATTGTACCTTAATCCTCGTTCAAAAGTTGACCTATGAGTTATGTAACTTCGATTTTCCTCTGGGACCTGATGAAAGCAGGACTATTTAAAGTGTTCATAGTCGCAACCCTTTCAAAACTCACCGCTAGAGTTTTTGAATTGTTAAAAACTTCTTGAAATGACAGCTAATTCGTCATCGAAAACCGTGCAAGTTCCTATCACATAAGCAGTCGATGACCCTTTCTATACTCTATATCTAATAAAAGTTGAAGCCAACTCTACGATATGGTTTGCAACGCTTCGCTAAAAGCATAGAAGGGGTTTGTTGACAATCAAACATTGTACATTCTTGTAGGACATTATGTCGAAAGTCGAAACAAGGGTAAGGGTACCCCTATGATCAAAATGGCAATTTTGGTGCAAACGAGTCAATTTATGATTCAATGTATGCAAATGTCATCCATCAGGATCTCTGATTGTTGCCTATAGGGTATAATATTGGTCCTGGTATACTCTCAACCAAATATTTTTGGTGAAAGATCCGGGAATGGTGGGCAAATGGAGTTATTCATGATTTACGTGATGTATACAGGGTGGCCGAAAGCTATAGGCGTCATAATTTTCATTAAAATTTTTCATGAAAGACGAGTTTTTGTGAAAATACTTTTTGCATATCAAAAATGAAGATACCTATTGTGTTGTTCCAACAAAACTGGGCTTCTGCACATACATGTAGGTTCCAGCAGCTCTCAAAGCCAATGCATCAAAAATGTTATTTGAAAAATGTGCCCCTTGCAAACCTGTGCCGTTGATCCTCTTACAAATCGAATACTTTTGAGTTCACTAGGTTTTGTAGAGCATGGTCTAAGGAATAACAAAGTAGTATAAGAGCAGTAATATATCTTCTCCAAATCAAAGTACGGTACTATGAACATGGTGCTGACAGACCGCGCCGCAGCGTCTTTTGAGTGGAAGCAAACTCCGGGGCACCGTTTGCATTGGAAGACATCAGTTCGCAAGTTACTCGTATATCTTGATAAAGAGGATGTCCATGAGCTGTTACAAAATTGACAGCATTGTGCACTTAACAAGCTCGCCTTTGAACCCGCACAAGTACTTTGCAGATTGATTATTTTTCCTTTGTCGCAGCAGTAGCTATATAAGTTATACCAGACATCATCCTAACAACAAAATCAGCTCTATGTCATGAGTGATACACATCATCAAACTTTCCATTCAAAGTCTAAGAAATTTTCCCATTACTCTGATAAAATTTAATGTGCCTTATTAATGGTTCATTTTCATAAATACAAGTTATAATTCGACACACCTTCAAAACCTTCAAATCGCATATTTTACCGTTGTAATGACGGTCTCAAAATTAATCTTGGTTCACGACATTTCTTTATAAGTTTGACTGATCTAACAAAAGAAAATGAAGATAATGGTTGAGAGTAGTAGAACAATCAGTATCGAAAGATACAATTGATACTTTTGAACCTATTAGATGCAAGAACCTATGTTTCTAAGCTTATAATTAATCTCTTTTGGTAGTAATAGTAATTCATTTGATTAGGTTGCATAGTATAGTTCATTAAATCACAGCTCACGCTAAAACATGGTCTTTATTATACAAAAATCATCAAAAATATTACTACCGCCCATGTTGCTTAATGTGGTCTCAAGATTGCCGAGGAGTTAGCTTTCTCGAATTCAAAATCCTTGTTCAGGCAATTTTGTAAGCTGGGTTCATCAAGTGAATGCCGATTGGTAACTTGCACTTTAAAAGCCATCTTGTCCAGAGCGTACCTCTACAAAATAGATTAATCAGCGTTCTCCGTTACCTTTGAGAGTTCAGATTCTTGCTACGAGTTAATCAGATGAGCTGCCCCATAGGCATGGTTCGATCAAGGATTTACAATTAGTTCCTCTTAATCTGGGGTTTGTCTACACTGTCTTCATAAGCTAAGAGTTTTAGAAACTATAGGCGAAAGGTGCGAAATGGATTAATGAATGATATTAAATTACTGTTTTCATCGGCAGCTGCAGAAACTATCAGATGCTAGGATAAAAAAGACCAAAGCTTTACCTTACCTGACAAAAAAGAGGTTGCTATAACAAATTTTTGGTTGACGAACATGGCTTCGAGAGTGGCTGAAGAAATGCAAACAACGGCTATTATTGGGTTGTTTCAAAAGTTCTACCCGTTATCGATATCCTTTTTTGAACTGCCAATTTTGAAGGAAGAAACCATTTTTCATAAACAATCTTACAGCAATCGCGGAACTTTTATTCTATTATATATAGCAAGATTAGAGCTAGAACAACTGCTACTATAAAAACGAAAAGATTTCAGGTTTGTCAATGGCGAACAAAATCAAAAATGTCAAAAAATGGCATTTTTTGCCGCCTGAAAAAGAGCAAAATGAGTGGGTCCTTTCGGATTTTTCAGCACAAAATTTTTATGGAAGAGTTTGATGAAATCATGAATGAAAAGTTAGCGGTACTGCTCAGTCGACTATGGGCTACACTGCGGGCAGTGCTTGTGCAACTCAGCTATATTCCAAATCAAGTTATGCTTTTGCAAAGTGAAGGTTTCTACAAGGAGATGTTCCTCGATTTTCGCTTATAAAATCTTCTCTGCTGTTACTGCAATAATCTTAAAGAGTGCACAGAATAGCCAAAGATTGCAGATTGTAATATAGTTTATAGCAATTGCAAAGATTATTTCTGAGAAGAGTTACTGTGAGTCAAAGTCAAGTTCGAAAACCGATAGAACTTTTGAAACCCAATATAAAGGAGTTCAAATCATAAACCAGAACAGGAGCCTTTCTCAATTTCTAGTAAATAAGTTTGCTATAACGAACCAGTTACTCCAGATATAACCTTTCAGTACTTTGGCAAGACTCCTTGCTACAGAACAAGTATCTAGCACCAAGTTGCATTTAGTACTGATACTTAGTGCTTCGTGCACTTGCTGATGACTGTTCTTGGCAGAAATTGAGGCCTGCGTATGCACGACCAACGAAAACTGCATTTTTCCAATGACTTGTGCAACTTTGCAGGATTTAAAAATTTGCAGGAAAGGACCTCAAATTGTTTCAACAGCTCATCTTCTGTATATAAGCAAGCTTCAAGCCTATACGTTAAGGGAATGCAGGTCAGATCACGGTACCACTGCGCCCAATTCCTGCTATGATCAGCTTCAAAAACACTCAACAGTTTATGACCAAGTGATTGACTGCAAAATCTATTTCAATCAAGCATTTGCGTTACAACTGACTGAAACGTCCCTGCTGAAAAAATATGTCAGCGTTCGCTGATCGAAACTCTTTCTTGGAAATTAAAAATCAAAATTCAGGCTGGAGTCTTTCGTAAAGTGACTACGAGAGCAGTGGAATTCCGAGTCAGCTCTATGAAACACATTGATCACGGGTTTTGATTGCTTGTGTTTCTTCTTCAATAAGCGTCCATACAATTACAGCGTACAAAAGATCGTTTGCGGAGATGTGATGCGCCTAACTTCAAACTGTTATGCAAATTTTTTTCTAGCAAAGTTGTCCATATCTAGAAAAATCAGGAAGGAGGTGGGAGACAAACGTACTGAACAGGCTATGCTAAGCCTGTAGCCCTCAAAAAGCTCTGTATGCACAAATACATCTAGAAGATAGTTTGATCTTCTTTCTGGAAATGGTCGATTTCAAATAGTTGTGCTGTTCGCAACATCTTGGGCATGAATTTTATAATTTGATCTTTTATATTACGGTTATTCCGAAAAAAAATCGAGATTGCAGAAAAACTTGGAGCCCTAAGTACTTAAACATTTGACATTCCAGGATTTGCCTGCACTTACCTGCACACGAATTTATCGTAAGCTTTTGAAGATGTGAAAGGAACTTCGAAAAGTTCGTACTGTGTTTGTTACCTGCTCGATTTGTATCATCTTGGTCGAGCGCATTAGGCTTAGCAAAATTTAAGTAAGAATTTTCTGTTTCGTTTAGTGTACAAATGGTCCGGATTACAATAAGGTTTGATGATTGCATGACTAATATAGACAATCCGCAAAATACTTCCGGCGAATACTGAACTTTTAAAACTTTCGCGGGACACTCTTATTGGAACTGCCAGCTTCCATCCACACGGCCCAATAGGAGCGTCCTCCCCGGAAGTTCTAGAAGTTCAGTTTTCCTCGGAAGTATTTTGCGGAATGTCTGAGGACGAATATCATCTTCCTGCACATACAATTTGTGATCATCCGATCGATATAGCCAACTTGTAAACAATGAAAATTGTTCAAACGATTGATTGACTTTAGTCGACTTCAAAATATTTGTTTTTACATATATTTCGGAATATGCTCTTCTTTTACCGTAGAGCTCAATGGTTAAGGAGTATTCGTACTTTTCGCTGCTGTAACCCGAGTTGTAACGACTTTAATAGAGTCCTTCTTATGCTAGCACTAAAAATTATATGGACAAACTTATTTGCCTTGCGAAGCTGAATTCACATAGAGTTCTGCTTATGTTAGCACTGAAGATTGTAGGAGGGAACCTTCTGACTGAAAAGCTGATAAGATGCTTGGGGATGGAACAACATAGCATTGTGAGCATCTTGCTGATTTCGATTCAATGAAAGAGGAATGTTTTTTTTTTTTGAGGTCTACCACAGGGAGGCAGATGAACGGTAACTTGTGCCAGCCGCATGCGCTGCGTAGGTCAAATCTTTCTCAATTTCTATATTCAGGATATGATGATCTTTGAAAATGTGGAAGAATAACACGGAGCTTAGTAGATTCTCAGTTCTCAGTTTTCGATACCATTGTCAATCCAGCAAAGGATATATCCCTCGAAAATGAACGAAGATGCGAGGTATATTGACAATCGCAGGATTAGAGTAGCCTTATTTGCATTACACCCCTACCACACGTATACTCATTTGGTTAGAAAATTAACAAAGTGAACTGCGGTGTCGACATCATTTGCACGTTAGATACAGATAGGTGCAAATCTTCAAAATGTGGCCACCGTACCATTTTTCGCACGCATTTGTTGCCGAGGTGGGGCCTATAGCAGCCTATATCAGCATTAAAACTATCGGACATATACGGGACATTCATAAGATCCGACGATGGCGGTAGCCGCGCGCGTTGGGTACGCGGCTTCGGCAACCGCATTTTTTTGGATTCCATACCTATTCGAACCGCTTTACCAGAAGTGATTAGTGACACTACAAAATGCATTTTCCTAGATGTTTTACGCTTCTGTGGGGTTTTGGTGAGCAATAGTCGAACATCGTCTTTATAAAGAACTTATACATAGAGTCTTGGTGTTTCTGCTTGAGATAACTGACCATGTTCTTAATCTTTAATTTCGTCCAATTTCACTTGAAAAAAAGTAGATTCACGCACCTGGCATGTGCCATGACTGCAGACTGCTCGATGACTCTCCGCATGACAAGGAACGCCATCAGCTACTCGCCATAGAAAATGGCTCCCAGTCGTTCGAGATTTGCAGACCACCTCGCACTGAATTCAGATATGATCATTCCTAGTCACTCAAAATCAGTGCGACAGTATCTTCGTTAATAGAAGATTATTTCCTTCCATTAAGTAGGCCTAAAAAGTCTATCTTTCGTTTTTCGGAAACGGTAATTTCATCCGTTCCAAATTTATCGGTGTAGAGCACAGAGGTCCCAGATATTGTTCTTGGGGCTAGAGAATACGAAAAATTTTTGAAGTCGTTTAGATTATCAGCGAGAAGCCCCAAAAAATTGAAAAAAGAAAGTTTAAGAGATTAAGTTAATTCCCGTTTCATCAAGAGCATTTGTAGAAGAACAGAACCGGATTCTGTTTTTGGTCTGTAGCGATTAAAGTGTCTGCCATACATTCAATATGTAGCTTCAAACTACACACTGATGGCGATGAAATAAATTTTCTACTTATCACTAATTTAGTACATATGTAAGATTTGGCTAAGGAAATTTTTCATGCATCCTGAATTATAGAGAGCATTGCAGAATGTCTAGCAAATTTCGACCACTAAATTTTGGGGCGAGGATTTTTTATTCCTCTAGAAAATTGCTGATCGATTCACTAATTTACCATTTTTTTACATTTAACGCTCTAACGGTTACATAAATAGGCATGAGCTAGATGAGCATGCTGAAATACAAATGAATTTTCTATCACTTTCTTGCTCGATTCCCGAATCAATTTATAAATTGTGCCTTTTTTTCTAATGAGACGCTTAATGCATGAGAGATATTACCCACCTGAATTTCGGATATTTTCGATCTGCAGTAAATAAAATTTTCGCCCTGAGTAAATGGGACCTAATTTGCACTAAACGAGAGGAATGAGGAACATCAAAACCTACATATGTAAGTAAATAATTGTTGGCAGTAGGGCTGATGAACAATTTCAAGCATTTGGTGTGGATCGTTGCTTACTAATCCGTATTCGCTGCAAAGCAAATCACTACGAAGGGAAAGAAAACATGCTTGTAAATTTGCTATAATGAGATTTTATTACAAACAGAAACTCTTCTGTTAACGCTTATCTAGGAGAGCAGCGCTTGAAGCATTTGCTTAACTCAAAAATCTCTCCAAGATTATGCAAAACTTTGAACAAGGGTTTTTTCCAGACTTCTCGCTAGACATTTTTTTGGCATCTAGAAAAATGCACTTCATCCTCGAGGGTATTACCGTAATGTAGCCAAAGATGAGATTCCCCTTCGAAATGTGATTAATGCTAAATGAGATACACCAAGGTTAGTTTTAGTACAAGCTGTCATGTACCTTTGAATGTAAATCGTTACCTATAATGGGTTTCGCGCCAGCGATAAAATGTAGCAAGTGCAAAAGCCATAAAGAGTTGAAAAATAATAAGCAAATAAGATAAAAGAAGTGGGATGATACCTACAGTCAACTTCGAAGGTCTATGGCAATTCAAGTAACTGTAATTCAGCTATAACATTTGTGTATGGATAGCTTCGAACCCTACTACCACATACTCATTATATAGAATTTTCTACTACGACAAAAGACAGTTATGACCTTATATAGCTGCTAAACTTCTAAAAAAATCACTAATTTGAATTTCAAAGTTCGTTCTCAAGCTGTAATAAGTGTACGGGTGAGAATTGTTGAATGGACATAATCTCTGACTATATGGCAAACATAGTCAGGATTGGTCTGTTGTTTGAGAATTTCTAAAGCCAAAAATGTGAAACTTCTCTAGCCATTTACGCGCGGAGGCCAATTTTTGGATGGTCCAGAACGCTTGAAATTGATCATCCAAACCATGAATATGGTGGGAAGTATCAAATTCGTGTGTGTGCATACCATTCGTACATTTTATATCCAATTTTAGTTTGGTTGGAGCATGATTTTTCGCAACTTTGACGAAGAAACTAGGCTTTTCTACTTGCCTGCACCATTTCATCATAACACAAATAATTTTTGAGCAACACAGTGTTGCCCATCCGATTCTCCTTGATTTACTTTCAATTGTGCTTAGTACTAAACATCTATACAAAAATTTGTCGGTGCATCTCTAGCAAACCGAAACTCTGAAATTATTTTTTAGCTAACCTAATAGGATATAGCCAGCAGTTTTTGTTCGTTTTTTTTCGGACTTTCGGCGTATATTATGTAGCTACTTCTGCCCTCGCTGACTGATCGTGTTGGTTACTTGAAAAATTTATCACAATTCATAGACTTGGATGAATAATAGTTGGATAAATATGTAAATCACTTTTTCTAACACATTCCCGATTTTCCAAATTTTTTGAGATATAAAAAAATATTTTAATAATTATTCTATTAACAATAATTATAAATTCCATACAATATCGTCACATGTACACTCATTTATGATATTAACACCAGTAATTCCATTATACGCTGAACCATTCTTGTTCTCTTATAATCTCAACAAATTCTGCTATGGTAGGAGATATCCGCATGCTTGTAACTTTACCTGCATAGGATTGCTATTCGAATTTACTACAGACTGTCCAAACAGCTTCTCAGCAAATTTGCCAAAAAACCACTTTTCGGCATGGCAAATAATTCTTTTGCTAAAAAATCATTTCTCTTTTCAAGTATTAATTACGATAGAGCTAGAAAAGTATAATGAAAAGGCTAGCTTTTATGGTACATGAAATGATGCTGCTTTGAGATTCTACCATACTCTTTATGTCATTCTGTTTCCGTATTCTTGTAAGCGCACCCATGACTGACAATGAAATTTTCGCAAAGTTATCATTTAAGAAAAGTAAATTCCGTTGGATAATGAAGGGTGTGATGAACAAGATTGACATTGTTAAATATTGTTAAATTTTTTTCTCGATTTGTTAATCACCACAGTCGAATGTTTTGGAAGCTGGCAAATAATTCTTTCTATCGTCATTTATCCATTTTCGTCACCTAGTCACAGAATCAAGAACATTTTTGGACTGCAAATCAGGATTTAGATCGGTTGCTGTTTGCGCAAACAATGATATGTATCTTTTACAAATGAAGAAAAACCTGCAGTAAAACCAATACGTGTTATTTAAAAGATTAAAGAATCGCCGTAGTACTCACTTTGCTTTATCGAAGAAATATAATATTGGAAAGTGATTTACACATAATCAGTCAAGCATCCGATGCTTAGTTCAGTCCAATCTGTTTTGCAAGAAGAAAATTTAAAAAAGAGAATTGTAATGTGGACTACCTGTTGTTTTGAGATGATTTCTTCTCCACCGCAAACCGTCTCCCTCGATGTTCGTTGCAGTGTGCCGCATTCCTAATGAGTGTTTTTGAAGCTTTTGAAACAGCTTTTTTCTTGAGGAACTGATGTCAAAGCGTAGGCGACAAGTAGAAGAATTTGAAATTGCGCGAGAATGAGAAGCTTCAGTGATTTAGAATGCGAACTTTGAATTCAAAACAAGGTTTGTCAGTTCATTGCAAGCTAAGATATTGAGTAAGTTATACACTGTTTCAAAAACCTATCGATGATCGGAGAAGATCACCGAAATCTTCCACACAACATTCTTACCTTTTCATTACACACTCTGTACCTAACGGAATGACCGGAACACTTGATGTCGAGGCATCTACGAAGTTGTTGAGAAACACCGCCACCGCACTGAAATTGAATTTTTGTTGCAGAGAATGTATGTAGGTGATTCCATCTTTGTGAAAATTATGCAAGCAGAGAACTTGCTCATCAACAAGATACATATTGGGATGTATGATCAGGACCTGGCATGAGGTGGCTTTTGGAAAGTGCAAAAAAAAACGAAGTCCCCCTTGACTCTCCCAAAATTTTACGAAGCTTCCTTTGACCCTTAGCCATTATCCTAAAAAATCTCCAAAAAAAAACGAAACGTCGACCAAAAAACCTCGCAAATTTTGTGTCTTTTCGGCCACAAAGAAACCTCCTTTGCTTTTTATCCCAAAAACGATATCCAGCTTGCTTACCAAGTCACCTGTGCCGAGTCATGTGTATGATAAGTCATTCGCATATATTTGTCGATTTTTTCTTAGTATTTTGTGGAAAATTTGGCGAAATGTGTACATGCCTTCAAAAGCCCCCAAACTGCTTTACCTATCACCCTAATTTCACCGTTTAAGGCGCGGGGGATTTTTTCTAAAATTGACCAGCCCAGATACGCCAAAGGACTTTACAGCTTTACAAAGGACCCTATAACGTGCTGTATATTGCTTAAAAGAATTGTGCGGTATAAGGATCTTTTTCCGAAACACAGTGAAGCGGCAGAGCGGCTCGCTTGAAAAATCGAAAAAGTGCGCCTTATGCGCGTGATATTAGGGTACTTATATCTTGCAATCATGCAAAGAGAAGTTTCTGTTTCAAACCAAAGAAAAACAAAAAAAAACCGTTTTCGACATCTATTTGCTCGCATTTTTATAGGTGAAACTCATTCAATCAAAAACCATTCTCCAAAGATTCGGAATAATTTCAAATGGATATAGGGTTATTCATGGTTGCTCCCTTCTTTTAGCCAAGTGTTTGAGCCATTATTTCAAGAGGAGCGAAGCACTTTTATGCATTCTATGATTTATTAACCACGGACAATCTTTTCTGCTAATCCTGTATCGCCCCTCGGATATCTTCTCTGATAAAAGTCTTCAGATGCCCAACGACGAAGTCGAAGAGGAATCAAAAAGAGAGAGCCTTTTGAGTATACGAATTGAATTTCTAAAACTTTTCGCCTTTCTTAGCAATATTTGAGAGCTACAGCATTCTCTTCAGGACGTCGCAATTTCTGAGCTGTATTTCAAGCATACTAAATCATTTGAAAAGAGTCATGATATAAAAAAGACTTTTCAACTTTTTGAAAAATGGCGAAAAAAGAAGAAGGTACTTTCCGTTACCCAGATCCATTTTTCGAAATTGTTCTCATAAAACGCATGCCTCAACCTAGAAATTTTCTTACATAGATCTTTCCCTTCTTGAAAAATGTGTCCAGATCACACAGTATACCAAGAAAAATCCCAAAGTCGCGAAATCTAGAAACCACTGCCTTTTTCTTGCGAGAACTCAAGTCAGAGTTCAATAAAATTGCTCTGCAATGTTTTTCAAATCATTTCTGCGTGCTTTGACAGCCTAAAATTTTATTGAATTATGGGACAAGCATCCAGGAGATTTTTTGATGCCGTTGTGGTAGAGATTTGATGTCATAAAGTGCGCTGAAGCTACTATATGGTACTGGGTCAAAAATTACATACGCATTCTTTTCTGATTGGGTTTTTTCGATTCTTCACTCAATGTGGATGCAACTCACTTCTTCCCCTTCTCTAACTAGGGTATGGGCTCCCGATGGGAGCTCCTTTGGCACTAAAACTTGAGAAAAGAACATGTTTTGAAATGCGCAGTGCATCCGAAATCATGCAAAAAACAAGCTTTGAAAAGGCAAAAAGTATGCTCGAGACTAAACTTTAGGAAAAAATTGGAGCTGTGACATGTGACTGGCAGATAAGCTTGAATTTTACATGTTCTAAGGGAAGAACTGCAGTTCAGTCACTTCATATCCTATTTGCGGTTGCACACAAAGCACACATTGCGCGTCTGGTCCTGGGTTTTTGAACAGGGGGTGCAAATTTTGATTACCTATGCAGTTTTATAGATTTCCGGTTAGGTAGAAACATCTAGCAGACATCGGCATCGTAGATACGCCACCGTTAATAAATAAACCACCTCCGAATATTCGAAAATTGTGTACTGAGGTTTTTATTCATGCTTATTTCAACTTTGTAAGCTATTTAAGGGGTTTTTTTTTGGCATAATCGCACTTTTGGAAAACATTGAGAAGAGAGCTCTTACGGTGTACTTGGCCTAGTTTATAAATGAAGCATCAAGGTAAAGGCGTAATTCACATTTACCAGCGGATTAGCCTAGTGCAAGAGTTTTCAAATTGCTCGCTTTGCTTGAGGCAAAATTGGGTTACCTGTAATTCCAAACCCTCTTCGGAATTCCTACCGTATGATCTTATAGTTATGATGAAGAGAGACCACTGATTCGGTCCATATTATAAACCTTTTATAGCCAATACAATATTGTGTTTGAGTGGCAGCGAAAGCTTTTATACAAGCAAGTCATCAAGAATCAAAAGATCGATAAATTTTTCAGGGCACTCGTTATTTCGAACTGACAAGAGAATCATGTTTAGTTGAACTGTCCTTTTGAGATGAGATGTAACTCTATTGGAGTGCATAAAACGTTGTTTTCAAATCTGCTTTCCTTATCTGTGGAGCATTCATGGATGAGGAGTTATGAGCTTTGATTTAAGCAAAAAAAATAAATGTGTAAGCAGGACAAAAATTGTCGTACTGTTTTTTTCCTAGCGCTTCAGTGAAATAGTGATGATTATCAGAGCACCTTCTTCATGACTACTCTTAGATAAAAAAATCTATTACACTTGGTTGCTTTATTTGAGGGCTAATAAGATTTTGGCACTCGTTTTATACAGGGTGTCCCAAAAAAATGTATCGAACGTTTGATTGTTAATATCTCTCTTCTAAAGAAGTCTTTTGCCTTGCATCAGGTACCATTTTGTAGAGCTGACTTCAACTTAGATTTGCATTATAGAACGAATCACTCATCTCTCTTCATTACTGTAGGATTACGGTAGAAACTTCAAAAATGGTTTTAAGTAATGAAAGGCCATATTTTGCCTCAGAAAAGAAACAAAACAGCCTGAAAACTTTTACGCTAGGCTAATTAGAGTTGCTGATTATAACTCTAAAGTTCCCAACTTGTTATGATGCTTCATTGCAGAGTTATGCCAGGTAAGAGGTAGCGGCCATTTTTTCAATGTTCTTAAAAAGTGTGATTAAACCGTTTAGAAAGCTTCGTAATCTTGTGAATAGTTGAGTATTGAACTCAGCGTCCATAAAAACTCTATTACACATGTTTTCACATTTTTTTGAAAAATTTTGAAACGGCAGCTTTTTCCACATTGACACCATATGTTTCAAGCTTCTACCGTAATCCTACAGTAATGAAGAGAGATGGGTGATTCGTTCTATAATGCAAATCTAAGTTGAAGCCAGCTCTACAAAATGGTACCTGAAGCAAGGCAAAAGACTTCTTGCGAAGAGAGATTTACGATCAAACGTTCGATACATTTTTTTTGGGACACCCTGTATAAATGCACATTCAATTTTTAATTCAATATTATAACTCCTTGTTCCGCAGATAGGAAAGGCAGATTTTGAATCAGCATTTTATGACCTTCATTATGGTACATCCCATCTAGAAAGGCCTTTGACTAAACATGGTTTCCTTGTGAGAGCCGTGACTGTCAACAGCCTGAGGGGGGAGGGGGGGGGGGGGGGAGAGAGCAATATGTCCCTTGGTGAACTACAATATTTCTTTAGTGTACTTACGACTTTTCTGATGCAAAGCTTGATCCGTAAGCTCGACAGGTCCTCAATAGTGATGAAGTTCAATGCAGGGGAACACCAAGTTTTTGTTCGATGCGCGCTTTCTTTCGTATAGTTAGAATCTGTTTGCTATGTCCCACATCGCTTACCACCTTAGGCCCCGGGCAGAATTCACGCGATTTGATCGTCGCGACTGAATCGCGAGGAGACAACTGTTACAACATCATTCCAGCCGATCAACTTGCATTTCGGTTGTGATACTTTTCCAGCCCGAAATTTTTGAATGTGAAATGAAAATGAACGGAAATCTCAGCGACTGAATCGCGACGATCAAATCGCGTGAAGTTTGTCCGGGGCCTTACATTCTTTTCAAAATGTTTTTTAACATGGAACATGCAGATTTCGTGGCGTGACCCCACCACTATAGTGGCATCAATTTTTTTTTCAATTGTTTTTCATGTCGCCCACTCGTTGACACGCTTTCACGATATGCTCCCGCTTCTTCGCACTGAACAACACATCTTGCGCGGAGTTTTCGGTCTGTTCTAGAGCCTATTCATAGCGCGGCTCCCTCGGCTACTCGAGCCTTTTCTCGCCATTGTCTCGACGTACTCGGTTCACGCATGCGTAAATGACATACACCTACCGTTCTGCTGCATGGCGTCCACGGCGACCAACCTGCCCATCCGAGAGCCGTAACGAGTGACCATAACTGGAAAAAAATGAGCGATATGGGAGATAAGGGTTATTTTCTGCACTTTGAAGGTTTTTCATGGGATCGTGAGTACTTTGTGATGAAATTGCACTAATTTATCAAGCGAGAGTGCGAGCAATCATGGCTCCGAGCGATGCACTCGGCAGCACTTCTTTTGTGTGCTGGAGACGAAGTCCCTTGACATAATAATGGGCACCTGGACGCGGCATTGCACGGACCTCACAATGCCTTATAGATTTTGCAAGCGAGTGAAGATAATGGAAAAGTGCGAATGAGAGAGATGGTCAATGCAAAAATTAGCTTTACGCCACGAAAAAATTAATTTATGATAAATTTTCTGAGTTTTGCTTAATTTCGTTACCTATGCCCACGCTTTCCGCAAATTCGAAAAAAACCCTTGTAGTCATTTTTTTGTTTCGTAAAACTAAACCCATTTTTTACATTCCTTACGAATACTGGGTCAAAACATAGATTTTTTGAGACATAGTGCATTTGCCGGTCAAAATGGCGTCAATGCGTTAGACCAGCGCGTCGAAAAATTTTGTATTTCGTCCCAGAACCGATTTTTACGCGCAAATGTTGTAGTCAACGCAAGAACCCTAAGAACTATCACATCTAATAAGGATATACTGAGAGGAAACAATCTATATAATTCTCAACAGGCTTTTTTGTTATCATGATCTGAATAAAATCAATATTATTTACATCAGTCGAAAACTGATTTTGAATTTTTTTAAAGCTTTTTAGAAAAATTTTTGCCAGTTTTCGAGTGTCACTATTGAAAAGCTCAAATCTCCATCCTGTCCCTACAGTTATGTTGGTGCTTTAAATCAAAATTTCTCTTGGGTTCAAAAGAAAAAAATGAACCTCTACATATTTGAGTTTGAGTGATTTTTGGCTAATTTTGAACTTGCGTCATTGATACTCAAATTTTGAAGTTTGTCGTGATAGCCTTGGTGCTTTCAAAAATCAAATCTCTAGAAAATGGAAGCAATAAAAAACTACCTAGAAAAGAAAAAAAGGAAAGTGCTATGCCAAAAATCTTTGCATTTCCTTTACATCGTGTCTATCAAGGTGAGCATTATGCCAACGGATTAGCCCTTTGTTCATTCCCCTTAAACTTCCAGAGCATGAGACTTTGCAGCATTTTCTAATGTTTTTAGAAAAAACAAAAGCAACAAGATTCATGCTAATCTTTTATTTCCCATCCATCCAGTCTTACCCTCCAAAACCAACAAATAGCTAGGAATCTGTCACTCTCCTTTGTCAAAAATATGGCGGTAGAGATGAATCTTCATAATTCAGCCACATAAAACCATACTCAAAAAGGATGCGGCAAGCCATGTGGGCTCTTTCCCCAGGGCACATGGCAAAATGGGTGGGCAATTAGTCGCCGGCTATGATCCCCATGACACCCATTCGCATAGTTGGTGTAGACATGGCCAGAGGATATGCTGAGCAGCCTTAGTGTTGGAATTTGTTATGCAGAAGGATTTATGGGTTTCTGAGACACGATTGCGAATGCAATCCCGTATTTTTGCAGAATTCAAAATTCACGCATTGAAGACGTTGCAGTGCAGACTTTACAAAAAGAAAAAGAACTCGTTCTCGACAAAAGCCGTAGCATTAGATTTTTTCAAAACAAGAATTTGAGTTTGTACTGAAAAGAAATGGCTTAATACGTCATTAGAAAAAAATTTGATATCACAGAAATTTTGATTTTTTTGCGTGCGACGCACATTTAATTTTTATAAACTCTTTTGTATCATGAAAAATAATGGAATTTGATCTATGATGCAAAACCGTACTTATTACGAAAAATTCAAGAAGAATTCAAGAACCCTCCATCTCCATTACTCTGATTTAAGGAATATTTCCAACGTATGGTAAAAGATCAAAAATGCACTTTTAGATAGTCATGGTTTCGCCTATGAAGTAATGAAGGTTTTTTCAAATGAAGAGTTCTATTCTTAACATTTATTTTGCTCCTTAAAACTGTGTGCAGAACTGCACATGTGTCGCCGCCGTGCCAGAGCCGTTCGAGCGCCGTGCTAGTGCCGAGATTGAATCACGTGGAAACACTGTCGGAATCCATCGGTACAGTCCCAGCACGGCGCTGGCACGACGATAGTAATCTTGAACAGTTTAATCAGTTTTAGACCGTGCCATCAAGCATCATTATAAATGTTAAAAACTTCAAAAAAATTCTGCAAATCTCTTGTTGTTTTAGCAATCTAATCAAGTTTATAAGTGATATAAGGATGCCAGAAATCAAAAAAAAAAGTTTTAGGTCTGTGGCATAGGAAATGAAGAAAACTGGAAACAGTAAATTTAGTGTTTTGGAGACTTCTTTACCTGAGTTTAATTCATAAAATCTTTACCTGTGTTAGATAGGCGAAGCTCAACAGCATTACTCAACCATCGTTATTGTTGGATACCAGCATTATCTGTAAAAAGTAAACTATGCAAGGCAACTACTCGTACTAATGGGTTTTTTACCCAACGAAGTGAAAAAAGGCAAGAAAAAGTATCCAGTAAAAAAATGGATAATGCATTTTTTCTGAAAGAACTTTGTTCTGTGCAAAGTAAGCTTGTACTTGCAGAAGCTAATTTGAGCGGAATATGATGAAAAATTTAGAGAATGTACTATATAGTACAACTTTGAAGTGCTCAGATTCTTGAAGCTTGCGCAATAAAAAAACGTCTTTCGACATGTACTAATTATCAAAATGACTGTTTCAATTAGAAGTAGTGTCAATTAGTAGGGAAGAAGGGTTCAATCAATCGCTAGTTGTTTTCACTAAACCTTGGACCCATTCATTCTTGGTGGAGTCTCCCCCCCCCCCACCCCCCCCTCCCCAAACTTGCTAAAAAGCGGTGCAAAATTTTTGTAAAAGTGATCTTCAAGGTAATAGTGCAAGTGAGTTTCAAATGTTTTAAATAACTCCAAGGATTCAAAAAAACTTAAAGTAGCCCTGCTAACTCTCCCCCCCCCCCTCCTTTCAAAGAAAGCTCTTGATAATGCCATTGGTGTTGATAAAAGGTATAAAGTCATGCATTTTTTGATTCTAGGATAGAACTTATAGGGAAGCTAATAAGTTCTCATAAAATTTACAATATTTCGATGAAACATAACATGAACAAAAGCAGATCATGCGTACATAGTTTACGTATGACTTATACAGACGGTATCAAAAAATTTTGCGAGCCTAATTTGAGAAAGGAGGGAAGTCTGGGAGTCTGTTGCCGAATGTAAGGCCAAAGTTAGTTGGGAGAACAACTCTATATTCAGCACAACACTTCAGGGAGGTGTCTCCGCGAAATTCACGAGTTTGAGAATGCCATCAAAAATGAAGGAGCAAGTGTGTCCAAAAACTAAGAAAATTACGTATTGTTCTGCATATGCATGAATACATGGTCAAAAGACCAATAATGAAGTGAAAAATTCTCTGGTCTGAATGGAGCGAGATCTATGAGGTGTGTGAGATGCGTTTGGCAGATTAAAGCGATAGCACGCTGAAGTTTGTCGAATAGAATTTGATTGTTGCCTAACAAATCATAATTGCTCAACAATTAGGCTTTGGCAACCGCCGAAGTTCAGGCTTGAAACATTCTGGAGGATGGAACACGTAGAAGGTTATAAGTTTATCAAACAATGCCACCAGTTTGTGGATTTGAAAAGTTACATTGATTAAAACAGATATTTTCTCACACGACAAGACGATGTAATATAACAAAACAGGAAATCTCTCACGCAAGATTAAACAACTTGAAACACCTGCACATATCTATTTGTAATTGTTTGCTTCCACGATTTTTGGAAATAAATTGTAGATCCAGTTCTTTTGTTACAAAAGCAGTGATATAAATACTTGCAGCTCTGAAGATAACCGCCAAGAATTCCCACAATCGAAACCATTCGAACTTTGAAAGCAAAGTGAAAAAATGTTCAGTTGAAACTTCTGAACCTCTTGCTACATAGGTGTCATGCACTTGTTTTGATTTGTTCATAACTATTAAAAGAAGGATGACCAAAATTTGGCACACGTCATCCTTCGCATCTCCACATACGTGTTGTATAATAGAAACCCTCAGAAGTAAGTATACATTGCACAATCAAAATTGTTAGCGCTCAATTAGTTGAAAAGAAACAGTCTCAGCAAAAACTCGTGAGATTGTAATTTGGTAGTTTCAGCTCATTTTTACAGCCTAGAAATCTGAGCTCAAAAAAGACTCAGTAATGATTCATTCCTGCTATCCTGAATCTACCGTACAATGGGGAGGTTCATAAATTTTTCTCAAAACGAATTCGAGTTCTAAGGTATTCCCAGATTTTGACTAAAGCTCAAAGCCCTTTAAGTGGTGCACGAGTTGTTTGAATTTTTCGATGATCTTTCTGTAGAACTTACTTTCTCTATTGAAATTTCCCAAACATTTCTTGAATGCTCTGCCAAAATAACATTTTTTTTTCAAGATTTGATGCTATACACCTTATTCAGCTCCTTGTTGTTTCTACTCCAGATGAAAGAGGGATGGATACAGCCGCTCTCGCGAAGACAACAAAGGATGAATGAAGATACAAGATTGATTCTGATATGCGAAAATAGAGATTTTTTGATCTCGGCGTAAACACTGATATCTATGAAATTTTCGTAAAGGATATTCGAGGCAAATTCGTATGAAGTTTTCTGCAGATGGCTCGCATTGCACAGCGAAGAAAGCTAAAGAAAAGTTTGGCATCAACACTTGAGCGGATAAATCCTTGAAGAAGTAATAACATGCAGCTTGGATGGAGAAGCTCTTCAGAAAGAAGCTTCAGGAAAGGTATGTAAACTTCAACTACCAAATCATCAAGAAGAAACACACAGAGCAGCGTAAAGATGCATATTTGCGATTACTGCGTGCTCTTTGCGAAATAATAATTTCCTATAGAATTATCAACTAAGTGGCTTGTATGGTGCATAGCTTGTAGTGGCTACGGATTTGCAAAATATAAGAAGGAACGGCTTTTGCAGATCTTTTTTTTTACTAATGCTCATATTCGCTTTTCAACTCAAAATCAAATATCTGTCAGGCTTTGAACGTACGAAGAATTTGACACAACCAATATAAAGACTATAAGAAAACACAATGAGAGAATGTAAAAGAGAAGTGAGAAAGGACAAACACATCTAATACATGAAAGCAACATAGTGCTCCTGCGATGTCACATTTCCAAGACAGAGCCATGTTGAATCCAGCAACTTGCTACTTGCGCGAAAAAATTGGCCACAGGGCCCACACTGCCACTGCTAACGCAAATCTTCTCGGCAACGCACGAACACTAGGTGTGAACGGATAGATCTATCAGGTTATAAAGTGATTATTGAGTATTTTTCTGTCGTCGTTCTTTGACTGGATTGAGAAAACCTTTGAAAAGTATCGTCCGCTTCAAGATTGCTGCTCCAGTACACTGCGGCTGGAACTTGCAGCAGCATGTCTAACATGTTGACAACATGCAACAAACATGTTAGCAATAAATTGTTGGCTACTCGCTTCGAGTCCAACATGCTTTTGTGTGTTGCCAAAGAGGCCAACATGTCGTTGCAAGTTATTTATGGGGCCAACATGTTGTTGCATGCTGCCAAAGAGGCCAACACGTTGTTGCATGTTGCCTAAGAGACCAAAACGGTGTTGCATGGACGAAGAGGCGAACATGTTGTTGCAAGTTATTTGCGGGGCCAAAATGTTGTTGCATGCTGCCAAAGAGGCCAACATGTTGTTGCATGTTATCAGAGCGGCCAACATGTTAGCATGTTATTTGCGAGCCAACATGTTATTGCGTGTTACCAGAAAGTGTAGGGTGAATGAGCTAAGAAGAATCTGCTTCTGTCTTCTACTAGAACATAATCACGAAATTAACATAGTGCCAAGAAATGCGGGTGATAGCACGTCCGCAACCATGTAAAAAACATTTTTAGAAACTTCAGTAATGCTGTGAATCTCTGATGTAGGAACGGAGCTCAGCTCAAAAAAGTCACTTAATCCTGATTAGAATTTTATGACAATAAATATCATATTCGAGTATGTATACGTTACCGCTATCAGTTTATCAGTACAAAAGTGTAATTCACTCAAAACTGAGGCTGAATTTCAAACACAATACGGATAGCTCAGAGAACAGTGAAGACAAATACGTGAACAGAATTTTTCTAGGACGAGTATGAAGGTAATTCCAATGCGACACTTTCAACGCAACATCGTGTTTATGTCGCCTATGTGCGAAATTACGATACCAGTTCTTATATATACTATCAGATGCATCAGACAGTGCTAGTAACAATTATTCGAACCAGTCGATAGAAGTAACGTGAAAAAAATAATAGCGATGCAGCATTTCCGGCGCATAATTGCGTTTGATACACAATTTTAAAAAGCGCCACTGACGGTGTCTTGAGTTGAAATCAGCTAAAAGTGGATTCAAAAAAGAATGCAAAGAGTTTCCCACAAGGCACTTCAAATGGCAGACTGCAAAACAGAAAAATAAGCAGAGGCGTTAATTTACATCTCAACCAATTTGGGATGAAAAGGAGTTTGCTCGTCGATGCGCAAGTCAATGGCAAACGCCCACTCTGTTCCATTCTTGCATATTTTGTTAGCTACCTAGAGCAGGAGACCACGACAACCTCTACAAAATTCATCAATATTTGGTAAGCCATAAATTTAGGCATACTTTGCTCAATCTGTGACGAACAAAAACACAACTATAAAGAAGTAGCCAGAGGCTAAGGACAAACTCATTATTTACGATAATTACTCGGATCAACAATAAAATCTTCAAAGCTCCTAATAAGTATGCCCTTTCACTAACTAGCGCTCATAGTTCTATCGCTACCGTATACATGACATCCAATTTTCTTGATTATTTCAAATCAATCTTTGTCAATGCAGCTACATGTGCATATGGCAAAAAATGACTTTCTTGCATAAAACGCAATACAAGGGCTCGTTTCTGTAAAAATTGCGTTTGCGTGCAAACAATGAATCACGCAAACTAGATATGTATGGCATTAATCTGTGGGTATCGCAAGAGGTAAAAAACTCCACGGAGGGAAAAGAAAAATCTAAGAAATAGCACAGCTCAAACTGAGTTCTTTGAGGCCTCGGGCAGAGTTCACGCGATTTGATCGTCGCGATTCAATCACGATAAGACAACTGCTACGAGTTCATTGCATGCCGACCAGCTTGCATTTCGCTAGTGATACTTTTCCAGCCCGAAATTTTTAAATGTAAAATGGTAATGAATGGAAATCGCGGCGACTGAATCGCGACGATCAAATCGCGTGAACTCTGGCCGAGGCGTGAGAGTGTCGATATGCAATTTGTGAGAAAGATTGAAAAATCATTTACAAGAGTTCTTTCTGGAGAACTC